AAGCGTGCTTTACAAGCTCTTTACGATGATTATTCTCGCTCGCATATCAAGGACACTGGATGAAGTCCAACCTGTAGAACAAGCTGAATTTCGCCAGGGATTCAGTTGCGTGGATCACATCCAGACAGTTTCGAGGATTATCGAAGTTTGCCGAGAGTACCGAATACCTTTCGTCCTAACCTTTTTTGGCTATGAGAAAGCGTTTGACAGCGTCGAGACTGCCATACTGTCAGCGCTCGTCGACCAAGAGGTGAACCCATCTAACGTGAGGACATTGGCCGACTGCAACAGGAACTGCTTTACAACGGTACACCTTTTCCATCGTCCTCTTAACATACCAGTCTCGCAGGGGGTTGGACAAGGCGACACCGTGCCGCCGAAGCTGTATGCCGCCGCATTGCAGTGGGTGATGAAATTACTGGATTGGAACGAGAGAGGTATACGAGTTGATGAGAGAATCCCCTCGAATCTTCGTTTTGCGGACGACATTGTTCTCTTCTCGAGAAATATCACTGAAGCGGAGACGATGTTTTCTCAAACCTTCGTTTTACGGACGACATTGTTCTCTTCTCGAAAAGTATCACTGAAGCGGAGACGATGTTGAAGGAACTAGGAAGTAGGGAAGCGGATAGGACTGCGAATCAACCGGAAGAAGACTCAGTTCATGAAGAATGCCTTTTGCGAGAGAAAGGGAGAGCAGATAGGATTGCAAATCAACCGGAAGAAGACTCAGTTCATGAAGAACACTTTTTGCAAAATTAGGAAATGAAATTAGAGGGCTCTCCAATCGCGGAGACGTCTTACGTATATCTCGGGCATTCGATGAACATGGAGAACGATTTGAAAGAAGAACTAAACAGGAGGCAAAGAGCAGCTTGGGTCGCCTTCCGGCCCCTAAAGGAAGCCACAGACAAGTTGACGGACTTAGAGCTCCGAGCCCATCTGTTCGATTCAACTTTTCTCCCTGCGCTCTGCTATGCAGTAGAGACATGACCTGACACTGTGGCTACGTGAAAAGCTCTTCGAACAACCCACTGAGCGCTGGAAGACGTCTTCTAAAGTACAACCGACGTACTCAACATCTCGTCGGACTTCGCAGTTCAGAAATGAGATCAATTTCTCGTCTTCGCGATCCAACGGAATACGTCTAGAAGGCAAAGCATCAATGGGCTGGTCATATAATGAGAAGGACAGACGACAGTTGGACACTAAGAACCTTGGAATGGATTCCTCGCGAAGCAAAACGTCATCGAGGGAGGCCACCGACCAGATGAGCTGACGTGTTCGTTGCACGGATCGATCAGCTGAATTCTCAGCTGGTAACGAGTAATGGATCTGGATCTCGCGAACGTCGCCGCCGCACTTCAATACCAACATTGTGCATGACGCTAGCGAGAGACAGAAATGGATGGAAACAGCGCTGTGGCCTGCACGACGAGCGAAGACAAGCCATCTAGCTATTGACTAAGTAAGTAGTACATTTCCAATGTGGCGAATCAAGAAGATATGTCAAGACTAGCCGTAAACT